GCCCCCCGCCGCCCGGCGGCCAATCACAGCGCCGCGCACGTGACGAGCGCTGCCTGCGATGACCTCATCCCTGGTGTGGGATGACGTCAAATTCAAGATGGATGGAATCACAGCGGCAGCGGCGGCTGCGGCGCGCGCGAGCCGAGTGTGAGCGGAAAGGGGCCCGGCGTCTGCCTCGCGGCTGAAGACCGGTGAGTAACTGTCACGTCCCTTGCTCTAGGAGAACTGCGGGGCCCCGTGGGAGGCCACAGCCTCCCCGCAAAACGCGGCCTTTCCTGACGTAACTCTGAGGTGATTTCTCTCCTCTTTTTTCTCTCCACCAGCGGCTTGCGGGCTCCGAGCGCTTCTGCGCGTGCGCCGGGCTCGGCGCTCACCGAGCATGCCCCGGGCCCCCACGTAGCCGATTGTGCCTTCACAGTGCGCATGCTCCTTTCCCGCACTTGGCCTCGCCCTCGCTACTGCGCACGCTCTGTCCCTCACTGGGCTTCCCTCGCCCGGTCAGGTGCCCCTGGGGGTGGACGCCGCCGGTCTCGCTCGGCGCGCGCCTTGCACGAACGGTCGGGATGCCTCCGGCCAGGGCGCGTGCTCACCTCCCGGGCATAGGTGGGGACCGGCCGGTGTGCGCGGGAGCTGGGGGCGGTGGGATCCCCCACCTGCTGCCACTCGACCCCTGGCGGCCGCCGGCGCAAACGACCAATAACCGGAGTTAACTGGGCTTTCCCGCCCCGCCTCCTGGCCGGTCCTCCGCCGGACCCCGGGACTCGAGTGCGCCCCTTTTCCTCCAGATCCCTGGGAGACCTGCTGCTCTGGCTCCACGCCCGCCGCAGAGCACAGCGCCTCCGTGGACGCAGCTTTCCTTCTGGGCTCTGGGTGGTTCCCCACTTGGGAAAGTCCGAGATCTGCGACCAGAGGCGGTGGGGAGGGCGGTCCAGACCCGGGGATCTGCAGACCCCGGCCCAGAGGCTGCCGCTGGCTGGCCGGAGGCCCCGTGGTCTTGTCATGGGTTTTCACCGCCCAGACCACTGCAAAGATCGTAGCTTTGACCATGGGGGAGCCCTCGGTCGTGGCCCTGCGCCCCGGCTGCTGTGCACTCCAGCCACAGGGCTGCGTGGCTTTGGAGAAGGCCACTCAGCAGCACGTGTGGAGTGGGGGGATCATAGAGACAGGGTCTCCTGCGGGATTCCCCGACAGTGGGGAGATGGGGGAGATGGTAGACCCCGCACAGCGTGGCAGCCTGGGGTGTTTTAGTGCAAGAGCTCACAGCGCTGCTCACCTCTGGCATCCGAGGGTGTCAGGGTATTACAGCATAGTCCAGTGATTGTTCATAACGATGACCCTGAGTCATCAGTAAGGAGCCTGCGTTAGGTTCTGCGTACCTTGTGTGAGAAGGCAAGAAAGTGGGTTAATCCATTTAGAAAGATTTCTCCTTGACAATTGTATTTAAAAACTTTTTCCCTCTGATGCTTGGAGTAAATCCCTCATCTGCCTCTAATGACTAATAGTCCTTACGTTTGAATTTAAATGTCCCTAAGTAGTGGTGTTAAAAAGAAAGTAGAAATTTGGGGCATTGGTTTACTTAAAAGTAACTTGATGTTTAATTCATTTTTCCTTTTAACAGTATTTATTGAATGTATAGTGTGCTTCATTCTGTGGATGTAAAAGTTGAAAAGGACCTTGCCCTGAGGAACTTACAGGCGGTTTATGGCAGGGGATATTAGGTGTGTGAGGAGAGAGGGCTGAGTCCTGGAGGGCATCTCTGAGTGAGGAGGAGATGACGAGGACAGTTGTAGTGGGTGCCAAAGCCAAGGGGGATGTGGAGAGCGGATTCCAGAGCTGTTTGTGAGGTTTGACAGGTTGTGGTGACTGACTGGAAAGGAAAGAAAAGAGGTTTCTGGTTTGGGAGACTGGTGTTGGCAAGACCCCAAACTAAATAGGGAATATGTGAGGACAGGCAGATGTGGGGGCCAGTACGAGGGGCGTGGGTCATAACACCATCCTGCACATGTGGATATGCTGTGATGGAAGTGTTCATTGCACACCTGAGAGGCTGGCGTCCCAAAGAAGAAGTCTGAGCAGAGATATAGATTTGGGAGTCATCATCCAGAAGTCATTAAAGCCCCAAGAGCTCGTAGAAAAAGCAAAAGAAGCGGCCACGTGCTGAGCTCTGGAACAGTCGCTGGAACGATAAAGGTGAGGAAGTCCGCGTCGCCAGCCGGGAGTGTGGTGCTTTCTCTCTTCGCCCGGTAGATTCTGGCCAGGCCTGTGCTGGGCCTTAGGGATACACAGGTGAAAACAAGAGTTCTTCCTTTTAGGGACTCTCCTGAGGGAGAGAGAGAGAAAAGCACATCACTCAGAATAGTCATGGTGTTCTTGCTGCAGAGATGAAGGATTGTAATGGTTTAGATGACTGAGCTGCTGGCTCGGGGCAGATTACTAGAGCTTTGTCAGACAGTGCCGTTTGAGCCGGATCTTTCTGTAGAAGTTGGCCAAGTAAAGGAACAGTAAGAAAGCTATTTTAGGTGGTGGAAATTGGGTGTGTGAATTTGTAAGGTGGATAGTAAGGAGTGTCCAATAAGGGTGGAGAGAAGAATTGTGACCAGAATGACAAAGAGTCTTGTATGTCAGTCTCTAGAGTTCGGATTTCACCTAGGAAGTAATAGAAAAATCAGTATAGTGTTCTAAAGGGCAGTGATGGGACCAGCTTTACATGAGGAAAACAAGTAAAAGGCATGTGTTCCACACCTGTGTTTAATTAGAGTGTCAGTACAGAAAAATCAACAAGTATTTATTGTTGTGCAAGATACCATTGGGCATTGTGAACAGTGTCAAAAGATATTAAATAGATTCTTAGTCCTTGAATAGCTTATGGTTCTGTTGGGGAGACAAACAACTAACAATATATGGCACTGAATAAGCACTACGTAAATGCTGCCACGCAGCGTAACACAGGAGTTGAAAGGTGTTTACTTGTTATAAACTAAAGTAGTCAAGGAAGGTATACTAGTTTGCTAGGGCAGCCATGACAGAGCACCACTTAAACAACAGAAATTTATTTTCTCACAGTTCTGGAGCCCAGAAGTCCGAGATTAAGGTGTCGGTAAGGTTGATTTCTCCTGAGGCCTCTCTCCTTGTCTTGGAGATGGCCATCTTCTTGCTGTCCTCACCTGGTCGTCCCTCTGTGTCTATGGCTTGATCTCCTCCTCTTTTAGCGACACCAGTCATATTGGACTGGGGCCACCTTAGTGACCTCATTGTAACTTAATTATCTCTTTAAAGCCTCTCCAAGCACACATACATTCTGAGGTGCCGGGGGTTAAGATTTCAGCATATGAATTTGAGGAGGGGGCGGGGGGGCACAATCCAGCCCATGATAGAAGGCTTCATGGAAGAATTGGCACTCCAGCTGAGCTTTGAAAGATGACTGGTGTTCCGCTGAGTGGAGTGCTGGGCAGGGGGTTAGATGAGGTCTAGGACGTTCCAGACGGGGTAATGGAAGTAGCAAGATGTACAGATTGTGTCTCAGGGACAAAGTATCTGAAGCAGGAAGGGAATAGTGAAGGAAAAGAAAATTTACAAAGTAGTTGGAAACCAGATTTACAGAGCCTAGGAGTGCATGTTTTTAAAATTTTGCATTTTAACCTAATGGAGAACCATCGTTTTTATTACTTTGTTACTTCTTTTCACTCAGGTCTTAGGTCTCAGCTAAAATGGCACATGGAGGCATTTCCTGACCATCCTTTCTAAGCCCTGCTTACTTCACCCAGTCACGGCACCCTGTTTATTTCCGTTATAGCACTCAGCATAGTCTGAAGTTGTCTTTTTTGTTTTCTTGTTTATCGTCTGATTTACTTCATGAGAAAGTGGGGGCCTTGTCTGTTTTGTGCTCCCCTGCATTTCAAGTGTGTCTCACCATGTCTTGCACATAGTAGGAACTCAGTCAATAAGTTGAGTTAATGCTAGTAATACTTAATGTGTCCGTCTGATGGATTATCACAGCTGTGTTTTAGGAAGCTCGGTCTAGCAGCAGTATTATAAAGGACAGATTTGGAGGGCATGGCAGGAAGAATGAGCACCAGTTGGAAATATATTAGTTAGTGTCCTTGAATAACAAGAACAGAAACTGACAGGCTAGCTTGAATAGAAAACGGAATTTATTGTACAGATATAGGGTTGCTCTGGAGCTTTAAGGAAAAGCTAAAGAATTGGGCCAGGAAGGACGAAAACCAAGGTAACTGGCAGGCTGCGTTTTCAGCCACTGCCGAGGTAAATCAGCCCCACTCCTTCCCTGCCTTTGTCATTGTCCTCAGGCCCGTCTTCCTCTCATCGTGTGCCTACCCCTGAGCTGGGGGAGAGCAGCGCATCAGACTGCGCTCAGGGGGTGAGGGGGCTTCTTCCAAAGCCAGATCAAGGGGCCTTGTCCGGCAGGAGGACGAGTGGCTGCCGGGGGGCCAGAACCGAACAAGAGAGGCTGCTCGGCCGAGTGAGGTGCAAATGAAGAGCCTGCGCTAGTGGAGTCGTTGGGCTGATAGAGCAGAGTGCACCCCTAAACCCACATCAGACCCTCCCCGGAGAGACTGAACAGGCGGTGAGATGGGATCCGAGGGAGTGACATTACTGCTCTCGAAAGATCAAATAAACGAGGCTAGCTTTGAAATCTGAGGAGCTTTAGATAATGTCTGGATGTCTGCATTGTCACTGAGGGAGTGATGATAAGACCGAAACTCAGAGCCGACCTCCTGTCACATCTAATAGACAAGTCAGAGGGAGAGTCAGGGCGAATCCGGAGGTGAGGGTTGGGGTGACCGGTGCATGCGTGTCTATACTTGAGTCAGACGTGGATGCTCTGGTTTCCTAACCAGGTGTTTGCTTTCTGTGACGGGCATTCCTCCTTTTGTCCAGTGTCATGGTTAGGACTGCATAAGCAGTCTCCAATATTCCAAAGGATTGTGTGCCCAGAGTTGAGTGTTAGGTTAATGCTTGCGATGTAAAGAGACATTTACCTGTAGAACTGGTAGTAAGGGTTTTGTGGGCTAGTCCTGGAGCGAATTTGGTTTATAATGTACCTTAGCTCTGATAGCAGCCTGAGTTTTAGTCTCTAAAACTTGAAAGTCAGCGAGGTCATTTGGTCCCTTCCCATTTCCCTTTCTGGGCCCCTCACTCACCTCTAGTGTCCTTTTATCTGAGTGCTTAG